TTTAATGCTTATGAAACATGCATACGCAATTTAAAATACGTTGTTTTTCGGACAAGGCGTGTGTATTTATCACGCATCGGTCTCTCTCTATTAGGCCTATTCAATCACTGCCATCTCTGGCCTTTCTACATCCATTCATTCAATGGATGGACGTGCGTTCAAAACCAACGCAGTTCTTCTTTTTAAGCGAATGTAAATCAAAATTAGCTCTCGATTTATATCGCAGTGTTCTTTAATATGTCGAATACTAATAGCATGAAGTAAAATCATCAGCTTTAGTGCCAGTGTGCCATACCGAGATTATAACAACGTCTCTCCTTTCTTTCTTTCTTTGTAGAAAAGATGATTGAGGACTTCAACCTGAGCAGGAGAGGCGAGCTTTCCGCGATCTCAAACCCACACGGATTACACTACACAGGATTCATCTGATTTCCCCCTCGGGATTTGGATTATATCTTCAGTTTTGTTAGTAATGGAGGGTCGTGATTTCTCTGCTCCGGCGCACCTCCTCTCGGAGCGGGCCACGCTCGTCCACCGCGCCGCCTCACGCGTCTCCTCCTCCGGCCACGGGGCTGTGCAACACCCGCCGCATTTCCCACCCGGGAAATATTACCCTTCACACTTACCCATGGCGGCGCATTCAGGTGTGTTTGTGTTTTAATCTCATTCTAGTATTCAGTTGTTGTGTGTTTATCTAATTCTAGTGGCGTTTGAATGGGAAAAGCGACGATTTTAAAACGCGCGACGAGAATATGTTTGTTTATAATATATCAGGCCTCTGTTTGATTGATTATGTCTAGTAGTCTTTCTCATCGCTATGAAAAACGTCTATTATAGCATAAGACTTTAATCCAGATTTCAAAAATCCACACATTAAACAACGAATTATTGATAACGTATATTTATTGTCATTTTTGGCTCTTTTCAGATGGTACAAATATCCAATGTACACCATTTGAAATCGATTGTTTAGATTTATATGGTCACTTCTTGTCTTTTTTTTCGGTTGTTATGATCATTTCCTTGCTTGGAGTTCATACATAAGACTAAAAATCATTGTGTTCGTGAATAACACACACCCATTGTGCACAACATTTTGACAGGCGACGTTATGAGGATATATTGGACATAACAGGTAATATTATCTGTAAGGTATTGTAAAATAAATTTAATTTATATAAATTGTGCTTCAAATTAAGGTTTAAGAACAGAATGAACATTGTATCTTTTAATAAAAAAAAAAGAAATTTAAATCTAAATTGTTTGGCATTTGTAGTGCATTCATTTGTGAGTAGCCTATTAAGTCTTATTGTTTAATCTTAATAGCCTAGTTAAGTTTTTTTTTTTTTTTTTACAGGAAACATTTTGCAATGTTACTGTATGAAGGAGAAAAAGGGTTGATACAGTCAGATACATTTCTCTTAATAATTTGCACCATTTTTGAACAAACATCCACTTTCTCTAAAATATGCATTCTTGCCCAATTGATCAATAACGTGTAAGTGATTCACCAACCGTAAAAATTGTACATTTTAATCAATTAACTGAAGAATGTGATTGTTTTGCATGGCTGCAGGCCTTGACGTTCTCAAGCACATGAATCCATTTACTGTCTTAATTGCGTTTAGATTATTTTGGGAACAAACAGATTTACTAAACGCATGAAATGATTATGAATTGTGGCCCAATTTAGACTGCTAGAAAATAATTGTACATATCCTGGTCCTTTTTTAAATCAAATGTGTGCGAAGTATCTTCGATAACAAGGCATTGTTCCAGCCGTTTCCATACTCTCTGATATTTGCGGTTGTAGATGAGTCCATTTGGCCTTGGGGAATGAGTATTTAGGCTAATGTTAGCTAAAGGGTGCAGGTGTGCTGTTAACCGGATATGACAGTGCCTTTTGGTCGTACACCCCCAGCTTGCCGTGCCCTTAGCTGTCATCACTGTTCAATGATTGAGACAGGTGAGGGATTGTACCGAGATACAAAACTCATAGAGCTCAGGGTTTTATAGCTTTGTCTGGAATATCACCGTCTCCTGCTTGATTCATGCGGTGACGTTATTGACACGCCAACGCTGCGACTGCACCTTTATTTCAGACCAGGTTGATGGTCAGCAATCGTTTTTACACTGGTGTTTGTATCCAGCATGAAATGTGTCAAAGGTTTTTTTTTAACAATGCATATGAGACATTGGACCGGGCGATATTTGATTTGTATGCACAGATATAAAAAATTTGGCCGATACCGATAACCGATAATTCTTTATATTTGAAAGCCGATAACCGATATATTTACAGATAAATCTAAATCCAATTTTTACATAATTTTTGAGAGCCTGATTATAACCAAAAGTCTCACCATTAAAATCCAAAACCCAAACACACAATTAAAATAATGTTCTCATTATAATTTTATGTAGCCGATATCACTTTACTGTAACTTTTCCTTTTTTGAAGAGATATCAATCATATTTCAAGCAATTCAAACCCATCATGTTGAACAGTGCGCATCTGAAGTGTCTCAACTGAAGGAAATGACACATTATTTATCGGCTTTAATATATCGGACACATTTTCTTATCGGGCCGATAATGATAACATTAAAAATGAACATATCGGTACCGATACGGTGGCCGATATATATCGTGCATCCCTAATATTTGATATTTTATAATGATTTGTTGATGAAAAACTGGACATTCTGGCTTGTTAATGGATAATGCAATATTTTTCGTTTTTATATTATGGTGAAATTTGGCAAATAAACAGATGCAATAATAGCGCCACAGTGTGTCAACCTACAACTGGCATACTATATATAGTTATGTATGCATCTTCTATAAATTATATGCTAACTAAATATTATAAATGGCTAAATAAAAAAACACACACTTAATAAATCCCATATTAGTTCACCAATAATGCATATGTAACTTAACAAATACCACAATTTATTTAATCAAGGCTAAGCTAATTTTTGCCGATTACCGATATATTGGCCGATACGTCTAAATCCAAATTTTTACACAATTTTTGAGAGCCTGATTATAACCAAAAGTCTCACTATTAAAATCCAAAACCCAAACACACAATTATAATAAGGTTCTCATTATAATTTTATGTAGCCGATATTACTGTTGCACTTTACTGTAACTTTTCCTTTTTTGAAGAGATATCAATCATATTTCAAAATCCATCATGTTGAACAGTGCGCATCTGACGTGTCTCAGCTGAAGGGAATAACACACTTCTTATCGGTTTTAATGTATCAGACACATTTTCTTATCGGGCCGATAACGATAACATTAAAAATGAACATATCGGCGGATACCGATACGGTGGCCGATATATATCGTGCATCCCTAATATTTGAAAAATTTTAAATTTGAAAAAAAATAAAATCACACACTTAAATCCCATATTAGTTCACCACTAATGCACTTGTAACTTAACAAACACCACAATTTATTTTATCAAAGCTAAGCTAATTTTTGCCGATAACCGATATATCGGCCGATACATCTAAATCCAAATTTTTACATAATTTTTTAGAGCCTGATTACAAAAACAAAAGTCTCACCATTAAAAGCCATGTACCAAACACACAATCATAATAATCTTCTCATTATAATTTTATGTAGCCGATATGCTTTTTCGAAAGTGATTCCAATCACATTTCAAGTGATTCAAAACTATCATGGTGAACAGTGTCTCAAGTGTCTAGGAAATAACACATTATTTGTCAGCTTTAATATACCGGACAAATCTTCTTATTTGGACGTCAACAAAATTAAAAATATGATATAATATAAATATAATGTATAACAACATGTATCGGCCGATACTGAATCGGATACGGTGGCCGATATATCGGATATCACTAATATTTGATATTTTGAAATGATCAGTGGATTGAAAACTGTGCTCATTTACACAAGTGGTCATCCTGGCTTGTTAATGGATAATGCACTTTTAATTTTTCATATTACAGTGAATTTGGCAAACAAAGAGATGCATTAATAGCGCTTCAACCTACAACTGGCGTACTATAGTCAGTGCGCACATGTGATACTTGAAAAAATTTCATTTATTTCAGTAACTCAACTTATTAAACTAATATATTATCTAGACTCATTACATGCAAAGTGACCTTTATTTGTTATAATGTTGATTATGCCTTGCAGCTTATGGAATCCTTTTCACAATATTGTAATTTTGAATTTGGGGTTTTCAAAAGCTGTAAGCCATAATCATCAAAATTATTACAAATAAAGGCTTGACATATCTCACTTTGCAAAAAATGAGTGTAATATATTAGTTTAAGTTCAAATTTTTGACACAGTATTCAAATTTTCCTGTATGTCTACATCTTCCAGAAATTATAATGAAATAATAAATACTTCTAGCCCTCCACTAATGGACAACTTAACAGATACCACAGTTTATTTAATCAAGGCTAAGCTGAGAAAAGCACCAACCGAGCTGGATGGTCACCAAAGCCGCTTCTCTCTGGTGAAGCGAACGGACCGGTCAATGGCGTCCCGAGGCGTGAAGGGGTGTCGTTGGATGCGCTCGCTCCCTCACGGCCTCGCATGAATACTTTACAAAGAGCATGAATATTTTAGGGAACTGATGTACGAATGCGGTCGGGATCCTGGCTCGCTGAAAGGGCTTGTGTGGTGTCTTTCAGAGGCTTTATTATTCAGCTGCTGTTGGGAAACGCTGATGTTCCTCAAAGACTGAATGTGGTCACGTTTCTGAGAAAGCTCTCGATTTCACTTCTCCTCGCTCGATTATTTTCGGTCGTTCCTTTTGGTTTGTTTGCTTGTTCTTGGACTGAAGTTGCACTTTTGCATTCATCTCATTGTAGCGTCTTACAGGTTACAGGACAATACAACAAATCAAGCTCAGTTTAAAGTAAACTTTCAAAAGCGCTGCATTGACCAAACACCAATGCAAATGTTGCTCATTAGCATTGGTACAACAAGACCAAGCCAACTAAGGTCGTTATCAGCTTGATCAAAGTTTAAAACGGGTATTTACATTTTTTATTTCAGGATTCTTTGATGAACAGAAAGTTCAAAAGAACAGAATTTATCTGAAATAGAAGCTTTGTCGCATTAAACACTAACGTTCAAGAGTTTGGGGTCAGAAATAATTTTTATTTTATTTTTTGGGGGAAGAAATGAAAGAAATCAATACTTTTATTCATGAAGGATGAATGAATTGATCAAAAGTTACAGTAAAGAGATTTATAATGTTACGAGAGATTATATTTCAAATAAATACTAATTATATTCATCAAAGAATCCTGGAAAAAACTGTTTTCAACATTGATAACAATAATACATGTTTTTTTGAGCATCAAATCATCATATTAGAGTGATTTCTGAAGGATCATGTGGCATTGAAGACTGGAGTAATGATGAGGAAAATACAGCTTTGATCACAGGAATAAATTACATTTTAACATATATTAAAATAGAAAACAGTTATTTTAAATTGTAATAATATTTCACAAAATTACAGTTTTTACTGTATTTTTAATGAAATAAATGAAGCCTTGGTGAGCAGAAGAGACTTCTTTTAAAAGCATTTAATCCGATCCAAATCCTTTGACTGGTATCGTAGTTCGATCAT